AGAGGGGCCGGCCCTCAGGTCGGCCCTGGGAGTCTCTGAGGCCGCCCCGCCAGAGACCTCCCCATCCCCAGAGATCGCGCCGAGACGTCATCGGAACCTGTGGTCGGCCGCTCCCTGCCCGCTTTTTCGGGCTCCCTGTGTGCGGTCGGGAACTGTTGCATCGCGTCTCGCGGCGGCGGCCGCGGCGACGCGCTATGCCCTGCAAGCGGATAGCGTGCCGCTCCGCTCCGCGGGGCAGGAGGCTGGGAAAGGCTCGGAACGTGGACGCGTGGGGATGGGAAGTGGAAGCGCGGAAGGCCAAAACCGGCGGCGCGACACGCTAAGCCAAAATTCCTGACCGTAAGTGTACGGCCCGGCCTCGCATTTGAAGAAAGGATGCGCCAATCCCCAGACGGCCTCAAGAGTGCCTCTGGTCTAACCCAGACGGCCTGCAATCGCTGTAAAAGACCCTGGAGGGCCCCAGGAGGACACCAAGACGCCCGAATGCCGAGTGCCTCCAAATGGTTGTGGCTGTTCTCCTCCCCCGACTTCTTCAATTCACCCCCTCAACCAGCACGGAAGATAAAAACCACAAACACTGGAATCCGGAGGTGGGACACTAACCTCTGGAGGTTAGGGTTTCCTTCCTCGGGCCCTCCCATACAGAGGGGAACAAAGACAAAGAGAAGGAACGAACGACATACATGTAGAGGCAGAGACAAACAAAAGAAACAGCGAGGAACAGAGAGAACGAGGGAGGTTGGGGCACTAACCTCTGGAGGTTAGGGTTTCCTTCCTCGGGACCTCCCCATACAGAGGAATCAGAAGGACACAAAGACAAACAGAAGGAATCAGAGACAATCAGAAGTAAACAACGAGAAGTACATGTCAACGGAGGTTGGAAAACTAACCTCCGGAGGTTGGGGGTTCCTACCTCGATACCTCCTCGTACAGAGAGAAACAGTGCCAATCAGAAGGAAACAAAGATAAGCATGGAAAAACATAGGCAATCGGAAGGAAACAACGAGAATCAACGAGACACATACAGAAAAAGGGAGGTTAGAACACTAACCTCTGGAATTTACGGTGTCCTACCTTGATACATCCTCATGCAGAGGGCAACAACGACAGAGAAAGAAACAGAGACAAACATGGGGAAACAAAGACAAGCAACATGAAACAACAAGAAACACCCACATACAGAAGGAAACAACGAGAAATAACAAGAAACAGCGAGAAAGAGGGAGGTTGGAACACTAACCTCTGGAGGTTAGGGTTTCCTACCTCAGGACCTCCCCATACAACCATAAACGAACAGAGGGAAACAAAGACAAACATGGGGAAACAGAGACGAACACAACAAACACATACAGATAAGGAAACGTAGACACACATGGGGAAGCAGAGACAAACATAAGGAAACAACAAGAAACACCCACATACAGAAGGAAACAATGAGAAACAGTGATAAGGAGTGAGGTTGGGACACTAACCTCTGGAATTTACGGTGTCCTACCTCTGGACCTCCTCACGCATGAAGGAACAAAAACAAACATAAAGAAACAACGACAACCGTGGAAACGCAGACAACCATGAGGAAACAATGAGAAACAGAGAGAAAGATGTTGGAACACTGACCTCTGGAGGTTCTGTTTTCATACCTCGGGACCTCCTTACACAGAGAGAAACATAAACCAACATAAGTACACACAGATAAGCATGGGGAAACAGGGACAAACATAAGGACACACCGAGGAACCGAGAGTAAGAGGGAGGCTGTAACACTAACCTTTGGCGGTTACGGTTTCTTACCTCGGGACCTCCCCATGCAGAGGAACATATAAGCACAGAAGAAGAAACGTAAACATACAGCAGGGAACAGCAAGACACACCAAGAAGCATACAGAAGAAACAGAGTTTTGAACACTAACCTCTGGAGGTTGGGGTGTTCCAACTTGCTGCGACACCATACAAATGCAAACAGACACAAACAAAACACAACGACAACATGCGGAACGAAGACGAACATACGGAAACAGCAGGGAAGGGGGAGGTTGGAGCACTAACCTCTGGAGGTTAGGGTTTCCTACCTCGGGACCTTCCCATACAGAGGGAAACAAGGACCAATATAAGAAAACACAGACAAACATGGGGAAACATAGACAAACAGGAGGAACTAGCAAGAAACCTGTAGAACGATGCGGGTTTGAACGCTAACCTCGGGGGGTTAGGGGTTGCCAACCTCGGGACCTCCCCCTACAGAGGGAAGCATGGACTAAGAGAAGGAATCACAGACAAGCATGGGGAAACCTAGACAAGCATAAGGAACTAACACGACACATATAAAGAAATATGCAGGTATCAATATCAACCTCGGGGTGTTAGGGGTTTCCTACCTCGGGACCTCTCCATACAGAACGTAACAGGGACAAGCAGAACGAACCAAAGACAAACATGAGGAAGAAGAGACAAACAACACGAAACAACGAGACACACCGAGACACAGAGAAAGAGAGAAATAGCAACAAACAAGCATGAGGAAGTATAGACACACATAAATAATCACCGAGACACAGCAATAATGGGGCAGTGGGAACACTCACCTCCGCAGGCTAGGATATCCTACCTCGGGACCTCCCCATACAGAGGGAAACATAAACAAACATAAGGAAACAACAACACACATGGGAGAGAGAGTCATACAGAAGGGCGCAATGAGAAACAGAGAGAAATAGGGAGGTTTGGACACTCAAATTTGGAGTTCGTGGCTTCCTACCTTGATACCACCCCATACAAGAGGAAGCAGCGACAAACAGAAGGACACAACGACAAACATGGGGAACCATGGATCAGCGGAAGGAACCAGAGAAACAGAGAGAAAGAGGGAGACTGGAACACGAAGCTCTGGAGGTCGGTTAGAGCTTCCTGCCTCGGGGCCTCCCCATCCAGCGGGAAACAGAAACAAGCAGGAGGACACACAGACAAACATGGGGAAACATAGACAAACAGGAAGACACAACGAGAAACATATTGAACTATACAAGTTTGAACACGAACCTCTGGGGGTTGGGGTTTCCGACCCGGGGACCTCCCCATGCAGGAAGAAACATAAGCACATAGAAGGAACCACATAAAAACATGGGGAAGCAGAGAAAACAGCAGGACGGAACAGTAGAAACAGAGACAGAGAGAAGGAAACAAATGCAAGCATAAGGACATATGGACAAATTGACAAACAGGTGGAAACAACGAGACACAGCACGAACGCGGCAGGTTGGATCATTCGCCCCCGCAGGTTAGGAATTTCTACTTCGGAGCCCTCCCATACAGAGGGACCAAAGACAAACATAATGAAACAACCACATACGTCAGGGAAACAACAACAAACATATGGACACACTGAGAAACAGAGAAAAAGAGGCAGGTTGCAACACAAACCTCTGGAGGTCAGGGTTTGCTACTTCGGGACCTCCCCATACAGAGGGGAGCAGGGACAACCATAATGAACCAAACCCAAACATGGATAACTGAAAGGGACATAAAGAATCACAAACGCGGGAAGCAGAGAACAACATGAAGAAAAAGGGAGGTTGGAACACGCCCCCCCCCCGGATATGAGGGCATCCTATCTCGGCGCAGGTTTTGCCTGCCGAATTGCGTGCAAGCGGCAGCGGCAGCGACAGCAGCGATACCGCGCGGAAGCGGGCAACATGCTGTCCTCGCCCAAAGTCGCGCAGTCTGTTAATGGAAGTGGCAACATTGTTTCGGGGCGGCGCATGTTTCGTCTTCGCCGCATCCATCGTACACTTGGGCCACCCGAGAGAGGGTTTCCTTACGTTTCACCATGATCCCACCAGCCCTCTGGGCGTAGGTGGTCTAACGAGTTTGTTTTTCCCTTTCTTCCCAAACACCCCTCTTCATCTTCGGGGAGGGGCTTGCCCCTCCCCCAACCCCCTCCCAGGGGCCCTGGATGGCACGGGGACGGTGGTGTCAGGGGGTCCTTTTTCGCCCGTTGTTGCCCGAGATGGCTCCAAGAGGGCCTCTGATGATTCCAAGATGGCCTCCAAGATGGCTCAAGAAAACCACAGATGGTTCAGTGTAGCTCCCGACAGACCGCGGCTCCAACTGCTTTCGGAGCCATCCACAGCCCAAAATCCCTTCCACACCCAAACAAAATCAATGAATGTTGTCTTCTCACCTTTTCGCGTCCGAAGGGCTTCTGGGGCCTCAAGATGGCCTTAGAACGCCCCAAGAAGGGTCCAAAATGCCTCCCAAAAGGCCCGAATAAACGGTTTTGACGGCTCTTCAGGGGTGGGGGTGGCAAAGAAGGGACCCCCACCCCTGGCCCCCAACATGTCCCCAAGAGGTCCTCCAGGGCCCTAGGGTTCCCAAGAGGCCCTCAAGAGGGCTCCAAGATGGCCGGAAGACCCCGAGACGAGCCCCAAAGGGGCACCAAAAGTGCCCCGAGAGAGCCCCAACAAACTCCCGTGGGCATCGTTCCTGGATGGACTGGTGGGGATACGCGTACCGTTAAGCGTTCCATGTTTCCGACTGCTTCCTTATGTTTGGCTGTATGTGTTCATGTTTCCTTATGCTACGCTCTGTTCCATTATGTTCGAATGCGTTGCGCTATGATTGGTTATGCTTCTCTGTCTGCCATTACGGATCCTTCTTATGGTATCCTGTACTTCTTGTGGTTGTTTAAGTTTCGTGGTGCGTTTCGTTGCTTCCTTATGTTAATGTAAGTTTCCTTATGCTTATCTCCAACGATTGTCATGTCTCGTTGTGTCCTTATGTTTCGCTCTGCATATTCAAAATTGAATGTGGCTCCTTCTCTAGTCCTTCTCCCTCTCTTGCTTGCCGGCTAATTAGCCATTCGGTTGCCCCGGAATGCCAGTCGCTGGAACGGACCGCCTCTGCCTCGCCGCCGGCGGAAAAATTTGTGATATGCATATTTTCCAACCAGTTGCTGAATGACAAGCGCTCTGGAGAGGCCAATCTGGAATCGAAGCGATGGCCCCGCACACAAAAAACCCTGTACGAGTCGCGGGCCCGCTCAATAACGCGTCCGTTCCTTGAATGCTAAAGTCGAATTGTCAAGCAGGAGGCCGCGTGGGTAAGCGGCAGGGCGGGCGCCGAAAACCAATGGATGAGGGGGCGGAGACCTCTGCTATATCAGTGTCGCATGCTGCTGACCATGATATGCATTCTTTCCCAACCATTTGCTGAATGACAAGCGCTCTGCAGAGGCCAATCTGAAGGCGAGGCGAGGGCCTCACACACAAAAGACACAGCTAGATAAACAATACCCACATGCAGTACTGGAAGTGGTTCACCGTAAAAGATGCAATTTTCTGAAAGTCCCCCTAAACGCATGCGCCAGGAAGAGCTCGCTGACCAGGAGTGTTTGCCAGCTTCACAGGGTCGGCCGCCTCGGCGCTGGTGAAGAAGCCGCCGCCTTTCGTCGTGCCCAGGAGGTTCTCGCGCGGCTGTTTGGCGTAGTCGCAGACGCCGCGGCCATGGCAGCGAAGCCGCTGGAGCTGCATGGAGGGCTGCATACTGAAGGTCCTCAAGCGCGCGTGCCCTGAAAGGGTGACCGCGCGCGCAGCGGTCGACGATGTCGTCGGTGGTGCCATTCCTGTCGGCGAAGCGCTTGCGCGAGGGCAGGTCCCAAAGGTAGCTGGTGTTCGGGTCCTCCCCCCCGCCTGAAATGTCGCGACTGGCGGCCAGTCGCGGGAGCCCGAGCGCTCTGTGAGCCAGCTTGTTCGACTCCTCGAGAGCTCGTTGGTCGCGGCCCTCGAGACGCGGAAGCCCATGAGGGTGCTCGGGGCCCCGCGGCGCGCGAGGAAGGCGAGAGCCCGGGGGGCCGCGGCGAGCCCACGCCAGGCCCCCGCAAGGAGTGCCCGACCAGCTAGCCAGCACCACGCCTCCAGATATCCAGCCCCGGAGGCGCGAGTAGACGTCGTCGTTGAGCAGATCCACGAGCACCCTGCCTTGCGTCGAACGCCACCGCTGCCGCGCCATTTCGGCCCATGGCCGCTGAAAAGGCACCAGCGCCCGCGAAGAGCTCGAGAAAGATGCGGAAGCGGTTGCCTGTCCGAAGAGCCTGGCGAAGCGAAGCCTGGAGTCGCGCCCCGCGCGGCGTTCGAGAGCTTCGCGAACATGTGATGGGAGAAGCTGGAGGCTGGAGCTGGAGTCCGACTCGGCCATGCTTGTCGCAGCGTGCCGCGCTGCCGCGCACCTCCCACATGCCTCGGCGCTGGACTTCCTGAAGGGGCCGTCGCCCAGCAGCTCGATCGCGGCTGGCCCCGCCGCGCCTGAAGCAATGCGGCGCGGGATGCAGCGCCCCAGTCTCCAGCTCCCGAACCGCGCGCTCGAGCAGCATGGGGAAGGCACCGTGCGAGGCGTTGACCACTGGCTCCATGGGCTAGGAGCTGAAGGCGGCTTTGAGCATGACCAGCGGTGCTCGGCCAGGTCGAAGGCACTGCGGCCGTCCATCTCCCCTGTCCTCGAGGGCGCCTGGAGTTCGGCCGCGTTGAGGACGATGGCCGGGCACCCCGCAGCGCCCGAGGAGCGGGCATCGGGCGAGATGATGTGACATCCGCAGCGCCAGCAACTCGCGGACGCGGCAGTGCGTCTCGAACATGACCAAGCACCTGGGAGCCGCCCACTCTTGACAAAGTCCAACAGCTTCCCAGCGACGGCGCAGGCGGCCTGCCTGGGCAGCGGCGGCTGTGACGCTGGAGGGCTGAGCCGAGTCCAACCGCGCATTGAGGCGAAGGACTGGGGGGAGAGCGAGCGCGCCATGCCGCCCGGGTGCTGCGGAGCCCACAGCAGTGCGTGCAACGCGCGGACGGTGGACCCCCTCGACTCCTGCTTGTCGCAGCGGCGCTCGATGAAATCGACCGGGATCAAGTCCCAGGCGGCAGCCGAGAACTGCGGGAGCTCCCGGCACTGCGAGAACACGATGAGCTGCCCCAAAAATGGCCAGGTAGGAGGTCTGCGCGACCTCTCCGATGCGGTTGGCCTGCAGCAGCGCGAGGCGAGGCGCCAGGCGGCCGCGAAGACGAGCCAACTCCACGTTGCGCCGCTGCCCTCGGCGGCCCGAGGCAGGGCGGCGCCCCCGAGCTGCGGCGGGCCGCGATGCGCGCTGCACATCGCGCGGCCGCCGAGCGGCGGCTCCGGGCACTGCTCGGACCCCGGCGAGCACCGGCGCGCCGGGCGATGAACCTGGCCGAGAAGTCGGCGGGGACCGCGGCGCACCTGTCCGGGCCGACTGCGCTGTTGGGCCGCGGCGAGCGCGGGGCCCAAGCGCCGTCTTCGAGCCGAGACGTCTGTGGCAGCCCTCGGCTCCTATTTGACAAGGGACGACGAGAAGGCTTGTCTGCTGCATTGCGTTCTGATGGAATCCAGCGACGAGCCAACTCGGCGTCCGCGACCAAACTGACAGCCAAAATCTCGCGGCAGATAGACTTCAATCTGAAGTCGGTGGCCCGGCCCATACATAACGCGCAGACGAGACTCATGTTATCCCTCAGGAAGACCAGACGATGGGAATGTCACTTGCTGTTTCGGGCGGCCCTGCGGACCCCGTGCAACAGCGATGCTCCCTCTAACAGATGCATAGGCTGGCTGGCGGCGAACGGCCTGGCTGCGACCGTGCACCGCGAAGCGCTCCTGGGAAGTTCCGGATCGACCTCGGCGAAGTCAGCAGCGGCACCGGCAGAGAGGATAGAGTCACGACCGCAAGGAATCCTGAATTAATTTTCCAGCCAGTCCAGATCCAGAAGATCACCCCTGGGCCGACGATTGACGGCGAGCAATCCTTTCCACCGTGAGCGATCGTTGAGGCGCCCGGTCTGACGCGACCGCGTTGAAGACGCCAGAGTCTCGCGCGCGCCATGCCCCCATGGGGCTCGCATCATAAGAAGTGACTAAGGAAGACCAAGGCCGCGACATGTCCGCGGTCACCAGCGGCAACAGAGCGCGGTGCCACTTGAGCTCCTTGCGGACTGATGGCCGCAACGGGATTCGCCGAATCTTTGTCTCCTGCGCAGCGGTGCGCGCGGCGCGGAGCAGCGCGAGCATCTCGCGTCGGAGCAAGAAGCAGCTAACCAAGTGCCCCAGGAGCTGCTCCATCTCGAGCCCCGAGAAGCCCTTGTCCGCGGAGATCATAAAAGTCCAAGGCGCCCTTGACTTTCCAAAACTTGCGAGCGCTGGCGGCCCACGCGGCACGGTGCTCGAACACAAAGAACCCGAGCAGGCCGCGCGCGCCGAATGTGTCCGAGTCGGGGCCCATCGCGGACGGAACCCCAGCATCCGTCAAAGCATCCATCAACGCGGCAGTTGCGGCACCCGGCCAGGCACGAGCTGGCCCCACCACCGCGAAGATGTCGATGTTGAGAATCTTCGCCGCGTGGGAGGAGCTAATCGGCTCGGTGGGCACCTTGCCCAAGACCCAGGAGTCGGATGGCCGCGCCTGCTTCGTCAGAGTCAGGTGCGCCTGCTGGGCGAGTTGGACCGACCAGGCCCGCCATATTGGGGCCGCGCGCGAATGGAACTGCAGCTGGCCGTTCGCTGTCAGGTGTCCGACTTCGGACGCGCGCGATCAGGGAGAAAAGGAAGGTCGACCGCCTTCAAAGCGAAGAAGGGGCGCAGGTTCCGCGGTAGCTCGCACTGGTAGAAGCAAACCTCGACTTCTGCGCTGGGCTCCGCGATCTGCTGCCCAGCAATCGAACCGTCGGTCTCCGGGGCAGCCAAAGCCTCGCCTGAGGGGAGCGCCGCGTAGGGGATGGGCAAGAAATGAGCGCTCGAGCGCTTCGTGCCCCGCACAAAACGGAGTGGCCCATTTCGGGGCGACGAAGGGCCCGCGCGTCTCCGCCGGCGCGGAGCAGACCTCGATGGCCCCGAGGTCGCAGAGCTCCCCAAAAAAGTAGCCGCAGTCGGCGCCACCCTTGCCGAGGTTGACGTCCATAGCAGGCACCATGGGAGCATCGAGAAGAACAGTGTCGCGATCATGATCTTCGCGGAGAAGACCCTGACCACTTACCAAAACTGACTGCAGGTCGGGCGAGACGCCGCCAGCCTCCACCCGCGGTAGTGAGACCTCACCACGTCTGTAAGTAGCAATCTTGCCATCGGTCAGCGAGTCCGCATAACCGCTCCTCGGACCCTGGAGCACCCTGAACGCTCCCTGGGCGTCAAAGTCTGATGGTGGCGGTCCAGCGCGGCCATGTGCCCGAGCGAGGTAGGTGTCGCACAGCCACCTGTTGCTGCAGGGAAAGCCGCCGACGCGGGTCAGCAGCCCCCCCGCGCACCCCTGGCCCGTTCAAGGCCTCGACGCCCTCCCCCAGACGCTTCTCTCGGGCGCGGCGCTGTCCCATGCGGCGATGGCGAGACTGACGCGGGCCCGCAGTCTCACCCCGCAGCTCGTTGGTAAGCGCGGCTCCAAGCGGCAGCGGAAGAACATCACGTTGCACCTCCATAGCTTCAACAATGCGCCAAGCACGCTGACCTCCACAAGCGCGCCTTCGTGGGAAAAGCCCACCGCCCGGGGGCGACGGCGGGCAGCCGGGTGAAGATGAGAGGGCGAGGCGTCAGCCCCGCCCGCGGCCACGCCCCCTCCCACGACCTGGGGGCTGGCCGGTTCCCCCTGGCGGTGCTCCGTCGGCGCCAGGAGGCGAAGCGCCGGGGGCTGAAGATGAAAATGCGTGCAGGGTCTCCGCGAGCGAGACGGCGCTCTTCGCGGCCTTTGCGGCGCTCCTTGAGCACCGCGCTCTCCTCCTGCAGCTCGGCCGCCGCGCACTGCTCGAGGGCGGGAGAAACGATGGCAAGGCCCCTGCTGCGGCGGTTACCCGAGAAGAGCCTCCTCTCGTCCAGGTCGCCCCCGTGGTCGCCCGCCTCGTCGATGCGCAGCGCCTCCGCGCAGAACTCCCCCCAGAGCTGGAAGCGCCGCGACACCGTCTCGAACGCCTCCAGCGCCGCCATGTTGACGCCGCCCCGTGCCACCGCGATCTCAAGCAGCTCGCGCGGGAAGCAATGCTCCTCGACCCCCAGATCGGTGGACACCAGTCCGAGGACCTGGCGCCACCAGAAGTGGTGCTGCTTGGGGGTCGTGTTGGCGTCCGCGTGCGTTTGTAGTGCCCAGAGCGTGGTGGCGGGCCCCTGGACCTGCCAGCCCGCGCCAGCAGACTCCTCGAACATCAGCGTGCGCTGGGCGAACATCTCGACAGCGAAGTCCGCATCCGCCGACTTCCCCATGTCGAAGGCGCGCATCCAGCGGCTCATCGCGCGGCGTCGGGGCGCCCGTGACCGAGACGTCGATCGCAGCGGCGGTGGTGCCACTAGGGAGCTCGAGGATGCCGCGGTCACCAGGACGGAGGAGGGGCAGGCCCTGCACGACGATGGGGTCGAGCATCATGTAGCCATACCCGGCCTCCAAGGTGACCCACTTGGGGTCAGGGTGGGCGCCGACCGGTAGCAACGCTCCGTCGAAGGGGGCCATCTGGAGGTCGGGGTCGTCGGCAAGCGGCTCGCCCGCCCCGCCAGCCTCCACGAGCTCGTCCGCGAGCTGGGCGCCAGACTCCAGGAAGGCCACATACTGCGTATTGGACTGGTGGTCAAACTTGAAGAGGCTCTTGCCCAGCAGCTTGGGCAGGGTCCCGCCCTTGGGCCCGCAGGCCCGGATCTCCACCGCCTCGTAGCAGTCCTCCTCATGCTGATCCAGAGTCGGAGTCAGGACGACCCACGACCCACGACCACCCGTCCGCCCGCACGCGAGCGCAGAGCAGCCACTCGGGCCGAGGCTGGGCCATGGTGCCTCCGGGGGAGCGCCCAGAAGTAGCAGGCCACGCAGCCGAGGACGCCAGCCACGACACCGCGCGCGAAACCCACCGCGGCGCTCGCCCAAGCAGGCGACGAGGAGCAGGTGCAAGAAGCGGGGGCTGGGGCCGTCAGCTGATCAGGACCGCACCGATCGAGCTGGCGCTGAAGGGCAGCGATGATGTCGCGGTCGATGCCGCGGGCCACCTCGCGCTGGCACGCGCAGGTGCACCTCTGGCCTCCGATGCTCCACCACCCTGTGGCGTAGCCCGCGGCCTGCGCAAGATAGGGAGAGAACGCTTGCATGTGCCAGGAGCCCTTGCGCCGAAAACCGATGGATGAGGGGACGGAGGCCTCTGCTAGATCAATATCGCATGCTGCTGACCACTTACTTTACATCGTTTGCCTCTGTTTACCTCTGCATGGGGTCCCGTGGTAGGAAGCCCTAAGCTCCGGAGGTTGGTGTTCATATTTGCTGTTTCTCTCTATTTCTCGTTGCTTCCTTCTTTGCTTCCTTCTTTTTGTACATGATTCCCCATGTTTGTCTGTGTTTCCTTCTGCTTGTCTCTGTCTCTCTCTGTATGGGGAAGTCCCGAGGTAGGAAACCGCAACCTCCGGAGGTTAGTGTTCGAATCTCTGCGCTCCAGGGACCAGCGGATCACAACCTCCTCCTCTTCCTGCTTTGCCTGAATGGCATCTCTGGGGAACCTGGCTAGAAAGATATCGCAGGGCGATTTGTAGGAGAAGCCAGCGCGGACGTTTCGCGTGACACACGTCGGGGACGGCGAGAAGCAGCGCGCCGGTAGGGTAGCCTCGCCGCAACCATGCACGAGCGCTGCACAGCGTACGGCATCAGTTTGCCCCCCATCGTCCTTCCATCTCCCTCTCCTTCTCCCTCTTATTATTATTATTATTACTCCTCTTCTTCTTATGTTATTATTATTCCTCTTCCTCTTCCTCTTCTTCTTATTCCTAATATTATTATTATGCTTATTATTATTATTGTTATTATTATTATTGTTATTATTATTATTATTATTATTATTACTAGAACCACGCGCGCGCTTCGCGCGCGCTTAGGTTCTGTCGAGTCACAGACCCAGGAATCGTTGTGAGAAGAAATTGGTGACGCGAAGCGTCGTGGGGGCGTCCTTGGACGTCTGGGGTCTCCTGGGGCCTCTTGAGGGGCCTCCTGGGGGCCTCCTGGCGGCCTCTTGGGGCGGAAGGCTCGAGCTTGCGGTTCGTGGTCCCCCTCTGGGCCCCCTCTTGGGCCCGTCTTGGGGCCCTCTTGGGCCATCTTGGGCGCCTCTTGGGCCGTCTTGGGGCCCTCTTGGGCTGTCCTGGGGCCCTCTGGGAAGCTTCTTGGGCCGTCTTGGGGCGGTCTTGGGCGCCTCTTGGGCCGTCCTGTAACGTCGGAAAGCCCAAAAGACAACTTTGTTGAAAATGTACGTTTTACGAAGGGAATGGGCCAATTTTTGCGTCTAGGGGCCCTCTTGGGACGCATGTTGGAGGCTTCTTGGGGCCTCTTGGGGGCGTCCTTGGACGTCTGGGGTCTCCTGGGGCCTCTTGAGGGGCCTCCTGGGGGCCTCCTGGCGGCCTCTTGGGGCGGAAGGCTCGAGCTTGCGGTTCGTGGTCCCCCTCTGGGCCCCCTCTTGGGCCCGTCTTGGGGCCCTCTTGGGCCATCTTGGGCGCCTCTTGGGCCGTCTTGGGGCCCTCTTGGGCTGTCCTGGGGCCCTCTGGAAGCTTCTTGGGCCGTCTTGGGGCGGTCTTGGGCGCCTCTTGGGCCGTCCTGTAACGTCGGAAAGCCCAAAAGGCGACTTTGTTGAAAATGTACGTTTTACGAAGGGAATGGGCCAATTCTTGCGTCTAGGGGCCCTCTTGGGACGCATGTTGGAGGCTTCTTGGGGCCTCTTGGGGGCGTCCTTGGACGTCTGGGGTCTCCTGGGGCCTCTTGAGGGGCCTCCTGGGGGCCTCCTGGCGGCCTCTTGGGGCGGAAGGCTCGAGCTTGCGGTTCGTGGTCCCCCTCTGGGCCCCCTCTTGGGCCCGTCTTGGGGCCCTCTTGGGCCATCTTGGGCGCCTCTTGGGCCGTCTTGGGGCCCTCTTGGGCTGTCCTGGGGCCCTCTTGGAAGCTTCTTGGGCCGTCTTGGGGCGGTCTTGGGCGCCTCTTGGGCCGTCCTGTAACGTCGGAAAGCCCAAAAGACAACTTTGTTGAAAATGTACGTTTTACGAAGGGAATGGGCCAATTTTTGCGTCTAGGGGCCCTCTTGGGACGCATGTTGGAGGCTTCTTGGGGCCTCTTGGGGGCGTCCTTGGACGTCTGGAGGCCATCTTCAGCATCTCGGAGCCCTCTTGGAGGCCTCTTGGAAGTTTCTTGGGCCGTCTTGGGCGCTTCTTGGGCCGTCTTGTCTGACTGGGGAGGCCTCCGGCAAGCCCCGACGAGCCTCCGGGCCCCCCGGGGCGCACATTTGTGGTCGAGGTCCCGGCCCCGGGCCCCCGGACCCGGTGCGCCGATATATGTATATTAGTATTCTTATTCTTCTTCTTCTTCTTCTTCTTCTTATTATTATTATTATTATTAGTATTATTATTATTCATAGTATTATTATTATTATTATCATGAATATTAATATTATTATTATAATTATCATTATTATTATTAGTGTTATGATGTTGATTATGATTATGATTAGGATTATTATTATTATTATGATTATTATTATTAGTACTATTATTATTATTATCATTATTATTATCATTATTATTATTAGTAGTACTATTAGTATTACTATTATTATTATTATTCCTCTTCTTCTTCTGCTTGCTTCTTCTTCTCCTTCTTCTTCCTCCCTTTCCCCCTCTGCCTGCCTGCCTGCCTGCCTGCCCTCCTGCCTGCCTGCCCCTCCCCCCCGCCGCCTCCGTGCTCCTCCCTCGCGCCCCCGCCCCGCCGACGCCCCGCTCCCTCCGAAACCTCGCCCGCCCCCTCGCCGCCAGGGAGGCGCCTCGGCCCCGCCGCGCTCCGCCCCGCCCTGGCGGCGCGGCCCCCCCCCGCCCCCCTCGGAGGCCCGCCGCCGCTGCCCGGCGCGCCCCCCGCGGGGCCCGCCGCCCCTCCTCCCCGACCGGACCGCTCGGGGCCGCCGCCTCCTCCTCCTGCCTCCCCCCTTCTCCTCCTCCTCCTCCACCTCCTCCTCCTCCTCCTCCTCCTCCTCCTCTCCTCCTCCTCTCTCCTCCTCGATCCTCCTCCTCCTCCTCCTCCTCCTCCTCCTCCTCCTCCTCTTCTTCTTCTCTTCTTCTTAGTATTATTATTATTATTCTTATTATTCTTCTTATTCTTATTCTTCTTCTTCTTCTTCTTCCTCTTCTTCTTCTTCTTCCTCCTCCTCCTCCTCCTCCTCCTCCTCCTCCTCCTCCTCCTCCTCCTCCTCGCCGCGGAGCACCGCGCGCCAGCGCCCCCGGATGCGATCACGATGGCGCCGCACGGCGCGGCAGCCAGGCTCCCCAGGAGGGCGGCGAGTGCCCGTGCCATCGGCCCGCCGAGGCGCACGATCGGAGGCGCGCCGAGGGGAAGGAGGGGGGTTGGCAGACCCTTCCCGGAAGGACGACGTCGACGGCGACGGCGACGGCGGTGACGACGGCGACGACGGCGAGGAGGCTGGGCCTGGGAGAGGGCTCCGAACAGCTTCGCGGCAGGCCGGGGGCCTTCCGAGCCTCCCGGGAAGGCTCGACGCCGTTGCCCCCCCCGCCCCCCTGGGCACGCCGCCGACATGAAAGTATATGACGATATGCAGAAGGAAAACAAGGGCACCTGGGAGAGGGCGCCTGCGCGGTGAGCTGGGCCACCGCCGGAGAAGCGGGTGCACGGGCAGGGAGCGGGGGCAGGGCGGCGCAGGGGAGGGGCAAGGGGACCGAAGGCGTCACGCCAGGCCCTGCCGCCCGGGAGCCTCCTGCGCCGAGGCCGAGCCACTGGGCCCCGCGGGGGCCGCGGGCAGGGCAGCGCAGGGCCGAGTCGGGGGAGAAGGTCGCCTGGCGCTCTCCGCCCTCCGCCCTCCGCCCTCCGCCCTCCGCCCTCCTCCCTCCTCCCTCCTCCCTCCTCCCTCCTCCCTCCTCCCTCCACGCAGATGCATCGCAGAGCGCAGCAGAAACGTGGACGTCCGGAGGTCCGCACGGACTTCTGGGATCGGCGCGGAAGCCCCTCTGGCGGCGCCCGGTGCAGCGCCGAGCTCGGTACAGGATACACTCGGGGCGTTGACCTAAGGAACCCCAAATAAGGAACGAGGCCCTTTTCTCCCATAAGTTGAACTTCGATTTCCCATGGAAAACCTCAGGAAAACAGAAGACAAACTGAAGAACAATCAAGGAACACCGAGCCCCTCCCCAACGAAAAGGGTTCCTTCTTCAGGGCCCCG